TTTCCCCCCAGCATTTGAGTCATAAATGCTGGTTGCTAGTGTGTGTGTGCGGGGGGACGGGGGACGACGACATTTCTTCACTGTCCATCACATCCACGTAAACATGTTGTGTGGCAGCCATTGGCAGCCAATGTCCCCACTGTGGAAGGACATGTGGATCCACAATTGGCCTCCACCCATGTTTATGGAAGACAATCTTGGCTACGAGTGATCACCAAAGAAGAAGATTACTAATTGAAGAAACCACCCACACCGATGATGCTCATACAATTTTTGTACCTAATTTAGGTGTGTGTGTGTGTGTGTGTGTGTGTGTGTGTTGCTCCTGAGTGTTGACATTTGTTCTGCACCTTTCTTTCCCAACATGCCTTTCTTCAACTGTCAAAGTTTTTTTGTTTGTTTTTTTTAAAAAGGGTGAGCAGTCTTTCTTCCCATGACAAGCCATTGCATAATTCTATGATTCTATATCTTCACTCCTTTGGCTACTGTAAGGACAGCAACATAAAGGGAGCTGCTTCAATTGCTCAAAAGCATGCACAAGGACCCTGTGGAATCTCATCTTTGCTCTGTGCCATAACTACTAATGTAGAAGGAATGAGATCTGAAGCGGGTGGATGCTTCACCTTGAGTAAAATAAAATACCAGCCACTTTAGATAGATTTTGAAAATGGCAACTTGGTTTCTAACTTCTACTGGTTTGTTTGTTTTTTTTGGTCTCGTCAGCCCCTAACTGTGTTTGATACGTGTTCTCTTACTAGCTGTGCCACACATTTACTAGAGTTTACTTTATGATACATTTATTTGCTGTGATATCCTGGAAGCCTGAAATCGTTGGAACTGATTTCTTTCCCACTGGGATTTAAAAGAGAATCCTTCAAATATATTTTGCAGTCCTGTGATGCTTCCATTTTTTTAGTTGCATTTGAGCATGTGTACTTAAAATATCAACTCAGTTCTTGCGTTGAAGGATTTTGGTTATCATTACAAATTATATTAAACCATGCTGAATTCTCTGTGCAGTCAACTAGAAGACTAGATGGTTCTCTTGCTATGATTTAATTTAAGCCATTTATGTGTTTGTGAATGTTATATAGCGTGCTTTCATTGTATTTTGGTTTTCATCATATTCTAAGGATTGTGTCTTCTCTTAACCTTGTTGGAAGCCCCATTTGAAAAGTGAATTCATGCTGACTTTTGTGATACTTCCTTTATTTTGTCTTTGTGGAAGGTTTGTATGGAAAACAAATGTTTTTCAGAAAAAGCAGTACATAAAGCAAAAACAATATTAATCAATAATTGCATAGTATGCAAACACAGTGTTTCAAAGTAATCCATCTTTTTCAACAGAGCAGGAAAATCACCATTATAGCTCATCATATGTCAGAATTCAGTGATGAGCACTACTTGATCTTCACACCAAGAAGTGCTTTCATCTCCCTCTCAAAACAGGCTCTCGCTGTATCATAAGCAAACGTCTTTATAGTGTCATTGGAATGGAGTTTCAAAAGCAGTTGTGACCTGGTGCTTTGTAGAGGATGGTAGAAGGGGAGAGAAAGAATTACAGTCCCAGTAAGTAATCCCAAAGTCTTCTCCACATGCAAAGCTTCCTGAATTGTTGGCCTCTTCTTAATGTAGCATGGCATCTGTTAAATTTTCAGGAATTTTGAATCTTTTTAATATGTCTAATTAATATATTGGAGCACCCAGCAAAGTGAATCACATAATTGCAATAAATCATAGAGATTGCTGTGACCTGTGGGTGATCTTAAAAATGAAGAATATATCTAATGTATGCTCATTATATATTATATACTATTCTGCAGACAGGTTCTGTGTGGTTCTGACATAAGAGATATTATACCACAGAGAAGTAGCTCCTATGCCTCTGTGATAAACGTGAGGCTAACCTTTTCCTGGGTCACTGTAAAACCTTTTGTATCTTTGGTCTCTGATGGAAGACGGTTGTGCTGTCTAACTTTAAAACAAAGCTTCCAGCTTGGTGATAATAACACACTAGTATTCAATATGGGTCCAACCTGGGATGCTTGTGATTGGTACCTAATTCGTAGCAGGTTTACAAGACACCTCATAAGGACGCCACTTTCTCATTCAACTGTGAAATCTGCTAAGCAGTCAGTTTTGAAGCTTTGGAAGACTGGATGAGCATCAGTTAATCTGTAGGGATTCCAGGAATAAACAGCCACAGCGCATGTTTTTCCCATTACACACACCCCTTGCTGGTTGCTGTCTCCTACTTGCATATTTGATGCACTTGAACAGTTGACCACGAGATGGCATCATATCATTTTTGAAGGCTGTGGTCTAGTTGAAGAAGTTTTTTTGTTTTTGGAAAGAAATGTTAACAGTGCTCACCAGTAAAACAGAACTTTCAGCTAAGCTCACTCATCCATATATTTCACCTGTGCAACGCAAATGCCCACCAAGCAGTGAAGAATGCTACCATTCTACATATCTCTGGGATCTCCTCCTCTCTCTCTTTTTACATGTAACTGATAGCTAGCTATATGTAGCTAAATTGTTTTCACATGTAGGGTTTATATGGTAATCATCATCTCCAACTGTTACATGGTACAACCGTATGGAATGGAAATGTGAGATCATTCTTGCTTTCTCTTTTCCTTGGTCAGGTGATTGAGACACAACAGGTCATACACACAGAACTCACCAATTTAGAATGCAACTTAAGATACTAGCATCCATGAAAGTAGCTGATATAATGGTAGAATCATAGAATTGTAGACACTGTAAGGCAGGGGGGGGATCTTTTTGCCCCATGTGGGGTTGCCACTTTTTGCCCTCTACCTTGAGATTAAGAGTCTCTTGCTTTACTGATTGAGCTATCCCAGCATGAGCACATAACCTATATATCCAACAGAGAGTTTATTCAGCTTGCTCAATCAATGTATTTCTTCCTCTTGGGTTTTCTGCATTCTGTTTATAAACAAGGCATTATGGACATGGGGAAAGCTGTGGTGCTGCTAATAGTTAAACCGTCCACATACTCATAAGCTTTTAACTCAGCTCCCTTATATTAAGCTGTGCACAAAATTGAGTCTATTCCTAGTTAAATACTTGGGTAATAGAGTCTGCTATTTAGTGGAAGAGTTATGCAAATGGCTTTTTTGTTTCACACGAATGGGTCTTATAGACTGTAAGTTTCATTGATAATGTAATTAGACTGTTACTTACCATTTGAAAGCAGCAAGCTGCATGGAAGCATCAGATTTAACTGTCATATACTTAATGAAACTTCTTACAGTGAACATAGAAATGCATAGTTCAGTTAGTATCTTCTTCTTGAGTTTTACCATGTTTTCTCATTTGGGATTTATATTTACTTGTATGCCTGGCTTTTATCATCACTGTACAACCCATTTACTACTACTATCTTTTATCTAATATCAGTTTTGTGCTGTCTTCCTGTCCCCCGCTTCCTGGTTCAATTTTCAGAGAAGGAGATTGGAATATTGTTCAATTTTGAACACATTTGGGGAGCTGTGGGTTTTCTTTCTTTTTTAAAAGCCATATCATGGTTTCAGTTTGTGGTCTCAGAATACAGTTGGAAACAAATCACTGTGCCCCAGCTTCATGTGTCATGGGAAAACTCTGTTGGTTTATATTGAAAGTGGGCACCTCTTTTGGCATGCAACAAGTCCCTTCTGTGCATTAGCCCGAGGTGTATGTGAAAAGAAACCATGGTTTCTAGCTGTACTTTAACCTGGCCAATGTGTTAAGATTGAGAGATTCAAGACACACCCTGATCATATTGACACTTTACCCTGTCAAATAGACACACTACTACTCCAACGTCCCACATAAAATGAAATGCCCAGGGTGGTGGCAGAGGGGGGAGTTGAAGTATAATTACTATTCAAATTGTATCCTAAAATGGAAAGAGGTGGATTCTGAGTTTTGATACAGAAATTCAAAGGCCGGGTTTTCTATTTCAAAATTGATTATTGGTTGTGTAGGGAAGAGAATGATGTTGGCTTCTTTTAAGATGAGCTTTAAGGCTGTTAAAATGGATTGAGCATGCAAGAGTATGTGTTTCAAATTCCCCCATGCAACTCTTAGGGTAGATTCATCCAGTTGTTTTCCTCACACCACAAAGGGTTTTAAGTCCTTAAATCCACCCTGGTGTGTTTCCAGTTTTTCATCACGGCTCACAGATGTGCATAGCCTTCATCTGAAAAGCCTGGGTTCATTTGATGTGGGTAGTGGGTGGAGTTTGGATGATATCACACAGGTTTAAAATTACCATCTCATTCATTTTACTCTTTTGAAGGCACCTTGTAACCTAGATCTCAATTTTAAAATACAGTGGTACCTCGCAAGACGAATGCCTCGCAAGACGAAAGGGTTTTTGGTTTTTTGAGTTGCTTCGCAAGACGATTTTCCCTATGGGCTTGCTTCGCAAGACAAAAACGTCTTGCAAGTTTGTTTCCTTTTTCTTAAAACCGTTAATACAGTTGCGACTTGACTTCGAGGAGCAACTCATAGCACGCAGTGTGGTAGCCTTTTTTGAGGTTTTTGAAGACTTTGGTGATTTTTGAAGCTTTTCCAAAACTTTTCCGAAACCGTGCTTCGCAAGACGAAAAAATCGCAAGACGAAAAAACTCGCGGAACGAATTAATTTCGTCTTGCGAGGCACTACTGTATGTGCTTAATGTGTTTTGTGTGGCAATAGTGAAGAGAGTTAACTGACCATTTAAAGAAGTTTGTTGTTTTCCTGAGGGGAAATTTCTTAATTGGCTTAAACAATCACAGCAAACTCCTAGCATAAATCAGCCACCACACTCAGCTCTGTTGAGAAATACCATGCAAATTCTAATAGGATTTTATCAATGAGTAGGAAATTTCCTTTTGTGTACCTACTTACTGATGTAATTAACATATACATCACTTTTCAGGAAAAACATTTCCCAAAGTGTTTAACACATAATAAATTGTGATGTGTACTCTCTTGCCTTTTCCTTTAGTATCCAAGTCCCATGGAGAAGCATGTCACGGCTGTAAAAACAGTAGAAGAGAAAACAGGTAAGTTGGACACTTCACTGTTGCTTAGAAGGCTCCAGAAAGTTTTCAGTAATTTACAGGTACATGAGAGCAGCAGCTAAGGTTACTCAGAGGTTTGGGGTGAAATGTCATCAGTATGTTGTGACCCTTGGCTCTACCTTGGAGCTAAATGGAGGGGGAAAGCACACTGAAATTAAATCTAGCTAGAAGGGGTGGTTTTGGCTAGGAGTTCTTCCAGCTGGGGGATAGGCGCACAAGCTTATTCTGTGTGGTTGCACTCTCGATGAAGGATCAGGTATGCAGCTTGGAGGTGCTGCTTTATCTTTTCTGAATGTAATGGAAATTATTCCTTGTCTAGAATCTCACCTCACACATTGCTTGAGGCAGCTGGCACAAATCATGCCTTGGCTTACAGGGCCTCTGGTTTAGGCAGGTGATACTGAACCAGTAGGGTTCTCTTTCAGCCTTCTAGTCCTCTATGCTTGTGCTGCTAAGGTTGTGAGGTAAAGGGAGATAGGAGGAAAGGTCTCCCTTGCCTACCCCAGGATACCTTCATCTTCTTTGCCTGCCTGGAGTACATGTCTGGGTAGGCTTGCCTAAATAGAAAAGATTTCAGCAGGCCCTGAAAGGAATATAGTGAAAAGGCCTGCCTAATGGTGAGGGAGTTTGAGTGTAAAAGCTGCCACACTAAAACACCAATTCCTAACAAGTTCAGATTAAATGTTATGGGGCAGCTGTAAAAATGCCACTTCCAGAGATTGAAGTGGTTTTGTGCCACTCATGGGTTGAGCCGATCCACTGATATATAGAGGTGGGTGATTACTGAGAGCTAATTTTTAAGCTGCCCTTGGACCACTTCACTCCAATTTGGCAGTAGTTACTGAATTGCTTGCATCTTAATTTGGGAGCTGTGGATCAGGTGATCTCGCATTGAACCTCCTGAATTCTTCCCCGCACCCAACCCTTAAAGGTAAAGGTACCCCTGCCTGTACGGGCCAGTCTTGACAGACTCTGGGGTTGTGCGCCCATCTCACTCTAGAGGCCGGGGGCCAGCGCTGTCCGGAGACACTTCCGGGTCACGTGGCCAGCGTGACAAAGCTGCATCTGGCGAGCCAGCGCAGCACACGGAAACGCCGTTTACCTTCCCGCTAGTAAGCGGTCCCTATTTATCTACTTGCACCTGGGGTGCTTTCGAACTGCTAGGTTGGCAGGCGCTGGGACCGAGCAACGGGAGCGCACCCCGCCGTGGGGATTCAAACCGCTGACCTTTCGATCGGCAAGCCCTAGGCACTGAGGCTTTTACCCACAGCGCCACCCGCGACCCAACCCTTACCCATTACTAAATTTGCAGTCAGAATCCATAAATATTCATCCCTGTTTCTGAGATTCAGCCTCTGTGGCTCAGAGCACTTTGGAGACAGCAATTTGCGAACTATCTCCCTGGCTCTTGTTCTTTCTGTGCATTTCCCTCATGCCTCAACTGGCTCTTGAAGACAAATTGCCCAGTTGCCCACCATTAGGAAGCAGTTGCAGACCAAGTTTATTGCAGCCAGACTGCTTTTTGTGTTCTCTCAGAAGAACCCTCTTCTCAGCCAAGTCTCTCATACTGAGATGGCAGAAGAACAGAAAGTAGGAGCAGCCCGGGTGGAGGAAAGGAATTAGTGTTGTTCCCCCTCCCCAATGCGGATGCTGCAGAAGGACTACATAAAAGGTGATCTCTGCTGCAAGAAGCTGAAGCTGAGGCAGGCAGGGCTCTCAGCACAAATCTCCCCTTTCCCATTTTTCACACCATTCACTTCAGTCTTTTGAGTTTAGTTATTCTCCCCCACCACTGAAAAAAAAAAGAGGCTCAAATTCTGGATTTTCCATTGGCATATTATATATAATAATAGTTTTAGCCATCCCTTTCTCTTGGGAAATACCAGTTTATGACCCCTTGTAAATGTGTCACATTGGGAAAGACAAATATACTGCCAGCGTTGGTTATTTAAAGCCTACTGCAAAATGCTGCCTCCCAGGAACAAAACCAGGGGAAGAAAAAAACACAGATAAACTTTGTGCGGGAGAGATTTGTCTCTTCCTGAGAACTCCTTTTCCACCGGGCTGTGTGCCTAGTCAGATCATCAATTAACATCATCCTGAGGCTTCTGGACTTGATTGGGATCATTAAATATTAACATGCAAAGTGAGTTTGGAAGCCAGTCACGTTCTTATTGTAGCTCAATAACTATAATTTGTGAAGGGTTTTAGAGGCGGTGGGGCTTTTCTTTCTTTTTTCGGTAGGGAGCTTTGTTCTTGTCACTGGCCCAACTCATTATAAAAATAAATTCTAATTGTTCTAGAGAATTGCTTTAGGCCTCAAACATTGACAATGGTGGGTGGAGAGGTATTTTGTACTCTTAGGATGTATTTCAGAATGCAGAGTGAGCAGAACAAGCCATTTTTGATCTGAAGTGCTGACCCAGGAAGATATTTGAAGCTTGTAGCTAGCAACATGAGAGCCTTGAAAATTAACTCCCCAACTGCTACCAACCGAATTGTAGAGCAATTCCATTGCAGTTCTAGCCAAATCTGTGAAGCTCGGATTTGGAATTGTGTGATGCTTTGTCATTGCCAGCATAGATGCCAATAAAATGTTTGAACCACACCATCTGTCCCCTGCCCAGTAGGGTTTTTTGTATGAGTTGAGGTGGGCAAACATACTATAGTTTTTGGACTAAGCATATAACCCTTTAAACGTTTTCATCATGGTCCATCTGGCAACTGGGCTGCAATCCTTTGGCTGCTGAGAAGAAGGGACATTGAATCCCTCTACCACATTCAGGCTTCCTCGCCGTCCTCCTTGCATCTGTAGTGCAAGCCTTTGGTTTTGTTTTCTAGATCTCTCTTTTCCAAAATAGCACTTTCATAAGTTGGTTTGTTCTTTTATGCTCAGATTTGTCTACAGGAATCATATACCGGAGGAGGATTGCAACATGCCAGAATGTAATTCCACACTTCTTAAGACAGGTAATTAATGTCAGTCAAGGTTGATGCATGCTGGTTTTTAAGGATATAGGGGAAACGGTGCAGGTTTGTAGCCACAAAGAATGAACTGTTCACTTGAACTAGGAAGGTTCTAAGTATCCTGGGTGGACCACGTGAGGATAGGCAGCAGTAGCTCATGTGGGCGGGGCGAGGAGTGGTGTGGGGGAAGTGGTGGAAGCACTGTGCTTGGATGGGGATGGGGTGGAAGTCAGAGAGGCTTCTGTGGGGCTTCTGCCACCAATCCTCAGAGCCCCCTTGACCTTGCTACTACCAATTTGCCTCATCCTTGTACTTACAAGCACAGCAATGCTGCCCAGAGGAGCCATTACTGAGGATGGGACTGTGTTTGAAATCCTGTATCCTTCCCTTAGTTCCTAAAAGAGCATTTTCCAAAAACAACTCTTATCTGCCATTTTGGGAGCTTGAAAAGGAAATCAAAACAGTGTCCTTATAATCTAGGACTCTGAAAAAAAACATAACAAGATAGTGATTTCTTCCGTTTAAACTTTCTGTGTCCTAAAGTTGTAGCTTGGCAACTCTTTGGATTTACATTCTGCTATGTATCACCTTCCATTTTGTGAACTGTTTACTTGGAATCTTTATTCTGTCTGTCAAAACTCAAATGATTTCTCTCTGTCACATTTCTGTTTGCCTTTTTCTTCCATGCCTCGTCCAGATGGGGAAACATAAAAATTCCAGGTACCAAACAGAATGTAAAATGAACCAAATGTTTTGGCTGTTTATGTCGTGAGTGCAACAGTCGACAAATGTCTTCTGTTAGAATCCATTACTTTAAGCAGGACATGTAGGCAACTAAAATGTCACATGAATTAAGCTGATGCTTAAGATGCAGCAGTTGGCAAAATCTAACTAGGCACCGGGCCGTGAGAACAAGTCCCTAAATGTTTGCATGGTTTCATCACTAACAGCTAAAAGTTTTTAATTTCTGTATTAGCGTCAAGAGATAAATGTTATGGGTGGCTTCAGTCCTTAATCGTTTTATTGTGTGAGGATGGAAACAAATGCTAAATATAATTCCTCATTCTTCAAGCACCTTGACATTATTTAAACATGTAATCATTATGTCTAACAGATCAGTGTCCTGAAAGTGCCCGAGGTCTACCTAGAAGAAGAATCTTGGCTTAATAAGCAGGATAGAATTATGTCTATGAAGACTCGGTGCCTCACATGGACACAGTATGCTACTCTAAAGGAAGAGTCAGTCTTCAGGGAAAGTCCAGAGAATCCAAACTGGTAAGTTGTAACTTAGTTATATGCACATTGTTGTATATGGCCTTCTAGTTAATTTCTATTTATTCTGTTTACCAGGCAACACCAGGAGGATCTGATGGTTGCGGTTTAGATAATGTAGGCAGCCACATTGTAGCAAGTAGCCTTCAAGCCAGAATTTCACAGCTGATACCGAAATTAGGTCTGCACAACTTGTGACCCATCAAGCCAAGTGTAGGCTGGCGGCTGGGCATGCATCACCGAAGGCTTACTGAACTTCTTCCGGTGGCCTGCCTTAGACTTCCAAAACAGGCTCTTTCTGTGTGTTAGCTGAGCCATGAAAATACATGGCTCCTGTGCTATGTCAGAAGTTGTACAGGCAAAACTTGCATAGGCCAAACATAGGGGGAAATATAAAAGTATGAGTAAGCGTTAGCTACATGGTTGCCATTGTCACTAGAGTCAAGTCTTTACATTTTTCCTACTGCAGTTCTGATGTGGTAGGAAACAGAAGGGTTGCAAACTTGGTTGTGCATACTTTCGCTATTAAAAAAAAAGATATTCTGTGCCAAAGTAGTTGTGAGTCTGTCTCCAGTATAACTTGCAGAAATTTGCATATTATATTTACCTTATTGAGGGACAGCAAGTGTATTCTGCATGGTTGGATGCATTTAGCTCTGTTGTGAGTAACAACTCCAACTATAAAAGCATATTTTGTTTTGGAAAAAATAGGCCTGAGGCCTTACTTTACACAATGAGATGTGAAAGCTCAGGAAAACCCCAGAAAAATCGGGGGACTGCCCCCCCATTTTTCCAGTTCCCCCCAGGCCTTCGCACCTTTATATTCACCCTGTGCCTGCCTGCTAGATCACTCTACCCATATTGGGAGTAGGTTGGACCAATTAAAGTCCAGAAAGTTAAAGGGCTGTTTAGTGAAGGCAGCTGAGACAATAAATGAAAAGTACTTAATGACAGTGGTGAAGTTGAGGAGGGATTGGTCTGGCAGGTTTGCTTCCCTTTGCTTTTTCTCATGGTGCCAGTTTTAAAAAAATAAATATATATATTCTAATTTTCAGGTAGAGATCTGTTCTGCCAATGCTGGCTGGTTGTTTTAGGGCAACTGAACTGTATTTATTGAATTTGTTCTGGTAAAAAGCAACAAATGTAATGAACCCTCAGTAAGAGTAGAAATGGCACCTGTGAATAATTGGGCTGTAATAAGAAGAAATATGTGATGGAGCGTAAAATGATACTGAATGACACAATCCACTGCAAATTCTTCTACTGGCTCACTGCAATAATGCCTCAAAAATAAAACAACAACAACAACCCGGGAAGTAAAAATAAAACTAAACAATCTCCCCAAGTTAATAAAAAGGATCAATAAAAAAATATTGCAATTGGAAGTGTGAAGACATATGGGACGTATTTTGGATAGCTGTTCTTATGTGTACTGAGTTTTATTTTAGGAATCTCTTCAACAGCTTATTTAAATCTAAAGCAAGTCTTAGTCACTTCTGCTCATTTCTTCCTGTTTACATATAACCAGGGCCCCTTTCATCAATGCACACCCTCAAAAAGTGAACTTCACCCTTCTACTCCAGGCCAGCTTCTACACAAACACTCTCACATATGCTCTATCTTCCATCCATGCAAGCAGGAAGCATCATCTGGATTCAAAGATGCAAAAACCCTCAGGGAGTGTGCATAGCGGGGCCACCTAGGGGGTGTAGTTCTGGGGAGAGGAGATGTGGCCTCAGGAGAGTCCCATGGGCCAGGTAGAGATGTCTGGGGGACTCCAGTTGACCACTTGGCCTGAGGTTCCCCATCCCTGTTCTGACGAGTGGGTTGGGGCCAATTGCTTGGGGTGACATTTGGCTTGGAAGACATGCAGTTGGCTTCACCTGTGTGCTTGGAATATGACAGGAAGGCATTTCCCACAATGCTCATGAGATGAACTGTTGAAGGCCATTTCCGGCCGTTAGAGAGACCTTTAGGGAAGCTTCTCACTAGATAGTGGTGTAAGCCTTGCAGGGAAGAGTATATGAGTTTTGCCCCAGGTGAACTTGTTTTGAATTCTGAGCTACCCTTTCCCATTGACATCCTACTATTTTTGCCTGGAAATTTATACCAACTCCTTAATAAAGTATATAAACAATAAGCTATCTGGTTATGAAAGAGTGCAGAATTCCCTTTTTAACCTGCCAACAAATATGTAACCGCTTTATGAGCTCAGATTTTATGCAAAAAAGAAAAGGAATAAGGTAGTGTAATATTAGTCCTTCAAAATGGTACCAGGAATGGTTCTGAAATTTTTATTTCACTTTTAGGAAGAATGACGTAAGTTCTGAGTACTGTCAGGAAAGTGGTCTTTGTGAGTTTTATAAACAGAATTTGTGCCTCATCAATCAAATGGAATATCTAAGCATACTCCTAGGATCTGATCTGGAAGATGGAATCTGATGGACTGGACAGATCCAAAGGATCTTGCGACACTGGGACAATGGGCAACAAATATAGCAGACTGAAGTCTAGTGTTAACATAATGCTTGTACACATTGGAACAAAACAACTCTGGTATCAAACAGTAACTGCTCTGGTATACATGACTTAAAGCTTTGCTCTCTCATCCCTGGAGACCGGAAGAAGCAAAACATGCTCCTTTTATTCAAAATCCCTTGTAGATTTTCTCTTTATAGGGAGTCTCATAGTGCTTTTCATCTAGCTCACTTCCTTCTTGTTGATAACTTTGCATCAGCCCATGTGATTTTAACGCACAGCATTTGATGAGCATGTTGGATTATCTGTTACTGTACTTTATATATGTTTTTATAGTTTTAATTCATTTTTAGTCTTAGCGTATTGGGGTTCGTGCACGCAACTTACAGGTGGCTGTAAGTGGCATACAAATTATTAAAATAAGTAATAAAAATATAACCGGGGGGGGGAACCCTAAGAAGAGATGGGAAGGCCTGGAAAAAAACCAGAAAAATTGGGGGGGGGGGAGAGACCAGGTTTTGCCCTGAAGCCGTTTTTTCCAGAAAAAATGAAAAAAATAGTTTGATATAGTTTGAATATTCCGCACCCCCCCCCATTTTTCTGAAAAAAATTACTTTGGGAAAAAACAGGGGGGGGGGCTTGTATTACCCCCTCCCCATTTTTCCATTCCCCCCGCAGGCCTTCCAGCACCCTGCCGGCTGACACCAGGAAGGTGCTTTCACTGTACACTTTCTGGCAACTTCTCAAAACATTTTCGTTAGGGCCAGCCCATCTGAACACGCAGAAGCTGCATGCGATTTACTTCCTTTTAACCACTGCTGACTTTAATCATCTTTTGAATACTCTTAAATACCTGCTTTTAACTGTGTTTTATCAATCATTTTAATGTTCTGTTGTATATTTTTGTAAACTGTTTAGAAGCTCTCTTACCATCATGCTGTTTATAATATATAATAACAAATTCAATTTTAAAAAAAACACACACTCCTTTTCCTTTCAAACAGAGTTTGAGCCTTAGCGCAACATACTATTCAGTAACTGGATGTTGGTTCCTTCTGGGCCTGGCATGCAAAAAAATTTCCTTACGCTTTGCCCTGGCTGTCCTCAAGTAGAGATGGGAAGGCCTGGGAAAAAACTGAAAAAATTGGAAGGGGGGGGGGAGAACAGTCCCCCCTGCATTTCCCCCCAAAGCTGTTTTTTAGAAGTCCGTGAGAAAAATGACAAACAGGAAGAGGAAGAATAAATGGAAAATGATAGCAGTAGTTCAGAAAATGAGTTAGAATAAACTGCATGTATATGTTGTGTCTTCTGTTTTTGTTTTTTTAAAAGCACTACTCAAAGGGTAGATCTTCTGTGGAGCTTAAATATTGAGGTAGACCTTAACTTTATTTGCTGTTGGTGCTAAGGGGCAAATCTGATTATTATTTATGTTGATGGTTTCTTGCTTTTTTTGTTGCTTTTGAGGGAAAGGGGCGTGGTTACCTGTTTTATTGCAAGCATAATACATACACTGTGTTTCACGCAATTTGTAAAACTACTCCACACTGAACTTTTTTTCAATTTTTCCAAAATTTCCGTTTTTTCCGGGGAAAAAACGGGGGAGGGGGGGAGAACATTTCCCCCCCCCCCATGGCTTCAAAATTTCCAAAAATTTTACATCTCTAACCCTAAGTGATTCCATGAACCACCAAGTTGTATTGCAATGTGGAAATAAAAGCACCACTGACAAATTTACCCTTTAATTTGTAAAAAGTATAAGGCACCCAGGCCCAGGTGCAGCAATATATCACTATTTCTCAGCATATGCTACACTGACAGTATATATTCAGTGTAAACATCAAAGGGTTATTAATTAAGGTACTTCAGGTTGTGTAAGCTAGTGGCCAGCTGGGCTGAAGAGGAAACCTCTTCAGTGTTACTGCAGAACACAAATGGCCAGGTGTATATTTCTCTTTTCAGCCTTTCCTGAAACATCTGGTTTATGTCATTATTGAAATGTGGTGTGAGTGGAGGGAGACAACAAATGCTCTTCTAGTTTCTTCCAAAATCTGGTGTTCCTATGCAACACAAGTGAAGCACATGAATTCACTGATGATATTTAATGAGCAATATTATTATCAATGGGGCAGAGCAGGAAAATGTTGCAGTGTATTCTCGTCTCCTTACAGAAGTGCTTCTGTCCTTGGTACTTACCTCTCTAATAAGGCTCAATATTTGGCCTTAAAAACTATTACAAATATAAAGTAATATATGATAGGATATAACCAAATCTACTGTATCTTTTTGGAAAGTTGCATATTTGGTTGCTATGCATCTTAAAATATTGTAACCAAATATTGCATAGTTTTTCCTAAGCTCAAGGAGCAGGTTTTTGTCTGTATTGGGATAAAATTGAGCTCCTTTTTCAACCAAGATAGCAGCCTGAACCTTACATTGATTTTAACCAGTGATTCCAAAACTGCACCCATTTATTATTTCTTAGAATTCCTAAGCAATGCTGGGCACGAGGCTGCTATCTGTATCCTTGCACAAACATGAGAAAATAACAATGGTACAGCAAAAGTTACAAGCCTATAATATATATTGGTAGCCTTAAATACTTACTACTGAATTGAAAAACAGCTTTTTAGAAACTTAGATCTTATCAACAGTTCTGGCAGCTAGGTTACTTGGTGGTGATGGATTTGATTATGGGTTCTGGGGTGGAAACACCCATGCATTTAGAAAGAATAAATTTATGACAATTTCCAGTTCCTGTTATGTTGTTTTAATGCATGTTTGCCTGGTGTCTAAGGTTATTTTGTTTATTGTATATCAATCAATGTTGCACTATGTCTTATACATTGGGGGGGGGGGAGTTTTTTACAGTGTGAATTTTGCTCCCCCTCCATTCTTCTCACTCATCCTGTTTTTTAAAAAATACTCTGTCAAAAGTGATGCCAGAATATATGAACGGCAGTCCTTGAAATTACAGCAGCAGCACTTGTTCCCTTTGAAATTACAGCTTGCTGAAGCTTTGTTCTATATCATTAAATTTGACTGAACCTTGCCCCTAATCTGCATTGCACAAAGGAATGTGTTTTTCTCAGTAGTCATAGAAAAACAGAATGTGGAAAGTCAAACTTGGTGTGCTCTCTGCTACTAAAGCTCTCCATATACCTGTTTATGGAACTGGAAATATGCTTGGTAGGAAGATCAGACAATTTGGTCTTTGATTCTTGTTGGCAAGAAGAGTTTCTAGACCTTCTAGAAACCTCAGGTGGGAAACCTGGCTTTAAAAGGCCAACTTGAGAAACAATTTGAATGTTGAAGATCCATGACTATAGAAGATTGGCATATTTGTTAGGCTGATATAACAATGAGTTGTTTATTATTATTATTATTATTGAGAACCAAACTTTGGTTCACTGCCACTGGGTATTGGACACTGGTATTTAGACAAGTCTGATTTATCTCCAGATTTTGTAATTTGTGAAGCATGCCATCTCAGCAGATGTTAAATGCTCAGTTATAGCCAGCACTATGCACTACAGTTCTACAGATGTACAAATTGTGATATATTGGAAGCAGAATCCAGCTTCCTAAGTCCTAAGATTAATAGCCCCCCCCCTTTTTAAAAGAAAATTGCTAGTCATTATGATTGTGAACATATGCTTTAGTTTGTGGGCAGTTCTTGGCAAAACCCCCAAAGCTATAGGGGAATGTGGTGGGGAATGTGTGGCCTTCCAGGTGTTTTGGTCTCCAATTCCCATCATTCCTGTGTTCGCTGTGGCTGATGGAAGTTAGAGTCTAACAGCATCTGGAGGGTTACAGGTTTGCAACACCTGCTGTAGGAGTTGCTAAGATTTCCAGGGAGCTGAGGTTCAGTGCCTTGCCTATTCGCATCATTAAAAGAAGCAAAATACAGTGGTACCTCGGTTTGTGAACTTAATCTGTTCCAGAAGTCCATTCTTAAACTGAAACCATTCTTAAACCAAGGCACACTTTCCCTAATGAGGCCTCCCGCCGCTGGTGCCCTTCCACCGTTCGGCTTCCGTTCTTAGACCGAGGTAAAGTTCGCAAACCGGGACACTACTTCCAGTTTTGCGGAGTTTGTAAACCAAATAGTTCATAAACAGAGCTGTTCTTAAACCGAGGTACCACTGTAAATGATAGAAAATAGGGTGTGTGTGCTGAAGGACACATTTTGCAGGAGAAACAATGCAGACTTTCATAATTTATGCAGGTGCAGAATTTGGATTCATCTTCTTTTTTAGCACAAGTATACAGTGAGCATGATTCTGTCTGTAGATGTGCTTTGCTGGATGAGAAACCTATTTCTCCGGTGACTGTGCATAAAATTGCACTGTTTACTTCATCACATTTTCATGAAGGGAACCACTATTCATCCTGTTCGTCTGACTGAACCTTTCCTTCAAGTCTCCTGCACTGCACACCTTGAAATGCCATTTGCCACCATAAAAATTATAATATGCAAGAAAAGATCTGTAAGATTCTAATGGCTGAGCATTTCCCCAAATGCCAGTCTTGTCCATCTCTTTTTCTTTAGAGTTCTCATACTCCTGGGTTGATTCTTCTTATGAAATTATCTTGCTCTGAAGGAGTATCAGTATGTCAAACAGTGTGCTCACATGAACAGTGCAATATGGGGGAAACAATCTGTGGGACAGAAAGTGGAAACTTGCTTGAGCAGATGCCTTCCCCCCCCCCACTGACCCCCACTCCAATTCTGCAGATGAAGCCAGTGAGATGCTTCAGTTAACAGAGCAGTTTCATGACATGAAAAGAAGATGGACTGCTAGTGACAGACGAGAGGGGGGTTTGTTCAGAATCCCCACTGAATATTTTATCCAGAACTTCTCAATTGATAAAGTTTCAAAACTTTTCCTTTTCCTTTAAAGGCGTCCATGGTAAGAAATCTTATCTGAACTGAAACATCAAGACTTTAATTAAAGGATCTTTAGGATAAAACTCCAATCACAAAAACAATTAAGCCAAATTTGCTATACTTTTAACTAGTCAATAATTCAGTAGTTGGATCTCGCTAATAGACTTCTCTCTGCCACTGTGTTGTTGTAATGATGGCGCATCACCCAGCTCTGCGTTGCAAGGATCAATCTGAGATCAATATTTTCTGTGAGCTTTTCGTGTCTTTCAGAGGCTGTGGAAAAAAAGAAAAAGAAATAGCAACATTGGGCTTCTTCTCACAATTACTTTATCAGGTGTAATAACCCCCCAAATGCCATTCGCCTTTTGTTGCCGCCTCTCTTAGGAAAAACCTCACCCACTAGTTGCTTGCATTGATGGGATATTATTGGTTATTTCTACAGCACATTGCGTATGCAAAGAGCTTTCTTCTAATGCAACTACAGTGGTGCCCCGCAAGACGAATGCCTCGCAAGACGAAAAACCCGCTAGACGAAAGGGTTTTCCGTTTTTGGGTTGCTTTGCAAGACGATTTTCCCTATGGGCTTGCTTCGCAAGACGAAAACGTCTTGCGAGTCTTGCATTTTTTTTCCGCTCCCCCCCTTTTTCTAAGCCACTAAGCCGCTAATAGCCTTTTAGCCGCTAAGCCTTTAATAGCCGCTAAATCGCTAATAGCGCTAATCCGCTAAGCCGCTAATAGGGTTGCTTCGCAAGACGAAAAAACCGCTAGACGAAGAGACTCGCGGAACGGATTATTTTCGTCTTGCGAGGCACCACTGTATGTGAGTTTGGATCTTTATTGCTTCCACTTATAGGGATGCTGGGTCTTTGAACCACTTCAGATGGCAGAAGGGAATAAGGGTCAAGCTATTGGGATGTTGTAGTTGCCTCCGCTATTGCAGATTGGGGTGATACTCAACTCACCTGTGAGCTCAAGTATTTCTGCTTGCACAACAGGACTCTCCCCCCCCCTGACTTGCCCTATTCCCTCCCCAAATTGGGGAGAACTTTTAGAACAGATTTCGGGGGCACACAGATTGAGAAGAGTGGGAGAATGTTCCATTTCGCAGGGGGAAATCCTTGTGCTGATGGGACAAGAGTCTTAGTGCTGTTCTGGATTCCACCCCCTGCACTGAGCAGATGGTTGGGTTAGGTTACTTCCAGGGTCCCTTCCAACGCTGTGATTCTTACTTCATGATGTGCAGCATCTCTTTCCTCTGAAATAGGCCATAGGATGTCTTCCTGCCTTTAAAATAGTCCAACTACTCCCCATTTTGGAACAAGGGGGAATGGGGCCAATGTGTTGCATGTGCTGATAACTTTTCATTTATATACTTCTGTACTACACTCTAGATGAGCCTGGCCTGGAATGATTCAGAAACCTCACAAGGATGGAGACAGTTTGATTACCAGTGTTTGGTTACAGGAAACATAACATCAGTACTTTATGAGCTCCGGCGGCTGCGAGTTTGTCTTTCCACAATCAGATTTAGTAGCAGCAATTTACTGCAATTGCATGCATACTGGAAAATCAGTGGTGACATGCAAGAAGACTTGTTCTGTTCTGGCCCTGAGATTTTGAAACAAGCATCCACTGTGTGTGTGTGTGTGTGTGTGTGTGTGTGTGTGTGTGTTCAAATATGGTCTTTATTCCTTTTACAGGGTGAAATTTTATTAAAGAACCACAGTACCTACTGGGAGGGAAAGAAAATGTTTAATTGCATTTCTGTTTTGTAGGACAGAGTTCATTCAGAATGGCAAAGTATCAATAAGAGGGTCAGGTCTCCTGAACTGTTTCCTGGAAGTTTTTGCACGAACCTTTTTAAATCAAGGAGTGAAAAGGGTAAGCTCTTTAATTTAATTTAATTTTGGGGAAAAAAGTTTTTTTCTATGTTATTGATACATTATGCGTCACCCTTAGTGAATGTGCATTATGACTTTTTCCCCAACTCCTTGCTCAGTAATTTCAGTTGATGGTGTTTGGCAGCTTCCTGTGCAAAATAACTCCCATTATGTATTAATTTAGATTCATAGCCTACATCTACTTCTGGGCTCCTGTCTGTGTTCCATTTCTTTGTAATGTCATTCAGATGGGGATGTGGCAAATGTGTGAAACACAGGTGCTGAACTAAGTGAGAATGTTTATGAGCTAAACGAGGATGGTCCAGCTTTTCATGCCAAGTGGGCCACAAGAGTACTTCAACATGGAGCCGTGCTTCTAATTTTGGGGCCAACCACAGCTGTAAATTTTACAGTTTCCCTAGTCTCTGCTACTCAAAGACATGAAAAATCACATCCAAATCCAGCTGCATGTAGTTGCTAAATACTACTAGAACTTGGGTAGGCAAACTAAGGCCTGGGGGCCGGATCTGGCCCAATTGCCTTCTAAATCCGGCCCACGGGTGGTCCGGGATTTATGTGTTTTTACATGCATAGAATGTGTCCTTTTATTTAAAATGCATCTCTGGGTTATTTGTGGGGCCTGCCTGGTGTTTTACATGAGTAAAATGTGTGCTTTTATTTAAAAGGCATCTCTGGGTCATTTGTGGGGCATAGGAATTCGTTCATTTCCCCCCCAAAATATAGTCCGGCCCCCCACAAGGTCTAAGGGACAGTGGACTGGCCCCCTGCTGAAAAAGTTTGCTGACCCCTGTACTAGAATGTCTACTCCAGGGTAGTAAGGTTTATAAGTGCTGTATCTCCATGACTTTATCCAACCTGCAATCTGCATCAGCCACGTGGTGTGAACGTTTTAAATACCGGTAGTTCAACAATGTTATTGGGGAAAATAGTTCCCAAATCTAGCTGACATGAATGAAGGGCACTATAGCTGTTTCTTATTCCTAGAGTGTCATTACATGGACATGGAATTCAGGAGCTTTTGGGCAGAGGAGGGTCCTCAGGGCAGGGGACTGAACTATGCAAATATGTTAAAGTGAAAAAACAACAAAAACCTCTTTCCTCTTTCTTTCTCTGTGTATTCCCCAACCTTAAAGGTAAAGGTAAAGGTACCCCTGCCCGTACGGGCCAGTCTTGCCAGACTCTAGGGTTGTGCGCTCATCTCACTCTATAGGCCGGGAGCCAGCGCTGTCCGGAGACACTTCCGGGTCACGTGGCCAGCGTGACAAGCTGCATCTGGCGAGCCAGCGCAGCACACGGAACGCCGTTTACCTTCCCGCCAGTAAGCGGTCCCTATTTATCTACTTGCACCCGAGGGTGCTTTCGAACTGCTAGGTTGGCAGGCGCTGGGACCGAGCGACGGGAGCGCACCCCGCCGCGGGGATTCGAACCGCCGACCTTTCAGTCAGCAAGTCCTAGGCGCTGAGGCTTTAACCCACAGCGCCACCTGCGTCCCAACCTTACTTCTCCATAATCTTGTAGATTTCATTCAGCCATGTGGTAGCTGATAAGATAGTTATATGAATAATTTAAAAATCTTGGCACAATTGATTTCTGGCACCTTTTTGGCGTTCTCCGGATAAATGTCAGAACTTTTTAAGATTGTGCAGATAGAACTGCATCACATCATGAGAGGAAGTGATGGATGCCACATGAGCTCTTCTTTCTATACCTTTTCTAAATAAAGAGAATCATTGATTTTTTTAAACCCCTCTAGTCTGCAGGCATTCAGACTTCTGCTGTTTATTCTGCCAGATAAACCTGGAAACTCATTTTGTCTGAATGGATGCTTGATGTTTTTGTTGTAGTTATAGGTGGCTCAAATCTTCGTACAGCTGTAAGTATTTTCTGTTGCTGTTCTTTGGGAGAAAGCTTTGCTTTTTGACCTTTCCATTATGTCTATACACAGCACAAGCAAGGCAAGGAATTCATGAGCAACCCACAGTTTGGGAAGAAATAGATGGATGCACTGTACTTACGAGGGACATGCTTTAGATTTTGAAACAGTCACCTGATGCACCTCAATAGGGAGAATTACCTGTATTGTTATAGAGGTTGGAAAACATGTATTGTAACATTTAAACGGTGCTATAAGTATATATTTATTTGTCACGGATGGATATACTCTTCAAATCAGGTAGTGTTGCCACATAATTTAGACCCATTCGCCAGATTTGCACATAGCACTCTGGCTTATTTTGCCAAAGTGTGAACGGTTTGAAAATCCAAACCAGCCCAGTAACCTTGGTTTTGTTCCTGGCAAACCACCTTGTGAAGCCATGATTTGTTGGTTTATGAGCCACAGTTTGTTTCAGCTGATTTGGAGCTAAGTCTGAACCCAGTAGCCTTGCTTAACCATGGTTTATTTGGCTACCTGACCTCAGATGCTTGCCCAAACTACAGAAGCATGAAACAAGGGCAGTTAGAAAACAAGCCAAGCCTTGGAGAAACAAGTTGTAGCTTATTTCTTTCTCTGTGAGGCAACTCATGTTTTCTGAAACAATCCATGGTTAAAACAAACCCTGGTTTAGCCACTGTTTCTAAAAACCCACTGTTTCTAAAACACGTAGTTAGGATTCATTACCATGTGACTCATTTAGAGGATCCCCTGACTACTTTGGCCTTCCCTGGCAAGTACGACCATACTTGCTAGGGATTATTAGGAAAGGCATTGAAAATAAAGCTGCCAGAGTTGTAGTTCTCTTATCCAGATCTATGGATCTGGTACATTTGGAATAGTGTGTGTACAATTCTGGGCATTCCCAGAAAGAATATAGTAGAGCTGGAGAAAGTCCTGAAAAGGTCAACTGAAATGATTGAGGGGTCAGAGCACCTTCCCCACAAGGCAAAGCTAAAGCGTTTGGGCCTCTCTTTTTTGTTTAGACTGTGGAGTGAGGGGCATAATAGAGGCTCATAAAATTTATGTGTGGCATGGGTAATAGAGAGAAGCTCATCTCCATTTCATAATAGCTAGAACTTGAGATCGCCCAAGTTGAAATTGATTTGGAGTAGATTTAGGACAGACCAATGAATAAATAATTTATGGGATGTGCTGCAACGAGATGTGATGGCCACGAACTAAGCTGGGTTTAAAAGAGGATTAGTCGAACGCATGGTAGATTGGTGTGCCAGTGGTTATTAGTCATGAGAGCTATAGAAGACCTTTGCATTCAGCGGCGGTGTGCCACTGAATACGAGATGCTGAGAAACAGCAATAGAAAGAGCTCTGGTGGAAGGAGGGGATTGGACAGCTCCAGGAGGCATCTTGGAGGTGGTGGCAGGGAGGGGGACACATGTAATATAAGTTTCGGGCTGCAGGTTGCCCACCTCTGCTTTGGCATCTGAGCCAGGAACTATTTGAGGGGAGTGGATCTTGTGTGTGTGTTTGTTCTGTGACTTGTCAATCAGAAAAGCTTTTATGCTTGTAAGTGACATGAATAAATAACAGCTCAAATCCAAGAGAAGTATAAAAAGATTAGGTTTTTTTATTATCAAATTGGTCAAAAACGTAAGATGGAAATGGAGTACAGTTGGACTTACAATGTCACTAATGGCTTTTGTAATAGATGACCTATAATTGAATCTACAGCAAGGAAAATTTGAGATTGTTAGGAGAAGGGATATATAAATATTAGAATTTAAATGACCATGACAGGGTGATCTGCTTTACTCTTTAAGATCAAACTGATAAGTATAATAAGGTTTTTTTTTGGGGGGGGGGAAACTATATTTGAAAAACTACAAGGTTTTTTTTCAAATATGACTCGATGAGTTTCAACAAGTCAAGATTATATGGCAGAATACCTTGAGCTATTTCAGGAAAAATCCTTAGATAATTAGGGAATATTTTCAGATAAATTATTATAATTTTTACTTGAACACGTATACTAGAGAAACGTTTTAAAATGTTGTCTAGATTGTACATTACATCTATGTAATAGTGAGAATTTTAAGATCAGCTTAACTACTTGACCTGTTATGTCTTTTAACATATGCTAAAGAGAGTATACTTTTTGGAGACATGTTGAGAGTAACCCTATGCATGTTTATGAAGAATCCCACTTTCTTTAATGGGACCTGCTCCCATGTGTCATTTGTCATAGGATTACAACCAGTACCAATTTGCTAGGCAGCGAGTCCCATTTAACTCAGTGAGATCCACTTTTAAGCAAGCTAACTTAGAGTCATGTTGTTGCTAGGCCTTCATGTACCAGCTAACAGGGAACCAAAGAATATCTGTGCAAAAAATATCTGAGAAAGGAGTGTAAAAAAAAAAAAAGACCACACATGGACCCCCTTGTTAGATTTTGTGATGATAACCAATCATTTTATGTCAAATACTGTTTTAATATGTATTGTGTGTAATTCAATATGTAATGAATTCAGTCGCTATGTCCAGGAGGCAGAGGGTAGTGGGGTTCCGCTGCCACGGAAGTCCAAACTGCACCTACTGAAAGTGCAGACTGCTGTGGAGGTACTGCCTGTTGTTTTCCCCCCAGAGGTAGGATGTGTAAGTCCTTGAAACAAGCCATTTCAGAGGCAAAGCATAGCAAGGCAACAATATGTTTGATCCTAAGCTTGTCCATTTGCTGCAGAAAGCCATGGTGGAGTGCTTGCCTGGAGCTGGTGCAGCAAAATTAAGAAACACCCATCCACCCACTGTTTTCTGCCCTGACCAGCAAGAGATAGCAGAGATTAGGATACAGTGCTTGGCTCTACCTCTCCAAGCAACCTTGGAGCAGCATTAGGATTGCCCTGCCCATTAGCGGATATTCAGTTGCACTGAAATAAGTGGGAACCTTATGTAACTAACTGTGTCTGAATAGAACACAAAACTATGCTGTGAAGTTAGTAATATGATGAGTTTTTGAATTAAAAGAAGAAAAAGTTTAAAAAGTAAAGAAAAGGGCTTTTAAGCCACATTTTAAAAGATGGTTTAAAGAAAATATTGAACAGAATTTATATCATTTTATTAGGTAGGAATAGGTTCCTTTACATTTCAAGTGCATCATGTTGTAAGGTTAACATTCTGAAGCTTGATCTCATGTGTCAAGATTTAAGCACAAGAGCTTTAGTTTAAAGGAATATATTGATCAGACTTTGATTGAGCCTCGTCTAATCGCAAAGAACAGTGGTGCTTACTAATAGCTGTCATTTAATGTTTCGTCTTCATTTCATAAATCTCCCTTCTCTGCTTCCTTAAGCCCCTCAGTCAAACAATTTCCCTTAAAACTGCTGTGCTAAGAGGAGAAATGAAAAAGCAACTGTCACAGTGTGAACATAATTGATTCAATAAATAACATTTTTAAATTCTCAAGGCAAACCTCGGGGTTTTCACTTATGTCAATTAACTACTTAGTAAATGGTGGTAAACTTAATTTGGACAGATGGGCTGTGCTAGCCCATTCTCACGTCCTCTGGAAATGAAAGAGAAAGAGAAAGCATTTTCCCTGATTTTTTTTTTAAAGTAATGTTTGGCTTGAATTTGGAAAGCATCACTTTGAAAACCTTCGCATTACTTGATGATAAAACAAACTGAATGTTGGTCTCTTCAGGTTATTGCTGTTTGGAAGTGATTCACATTTGTCATGATATTGCACTATGGGACAGGAAACCTGCTGTGTCTTTTTTTGAGGGGGGCATTCTTCACTATGTGGGTAGAAACTTCCCTTTTGCTAAAAGGGAACAGAGAGATTCTGTGGTTGCAGAGCTTTCACTCATGGTCATTGTTCAACGCTTGCCCAGGTCTGTGATGACAGCTGCAAAACAAGTAGCATGTAGTTAATTACCACAACCAATCTGCCAAGTTGTGGTTTGCAAATTGCCGGCATACTTCTCATAGTTGTAGCAGACTCAGTCCAGGGCTGAAATAATATTCTGCACTATGTAGATGTGCAGGTAAAGAGGAGATTCCCCATCTATGCAAATGACAACAAGGCAAAATGATGCTCCAGCTCTAGTTTCACTGTACTTAAAATAGCATGTATGAGTTGTGAGTAGGCACACAAATCTGGAGTGTCCAAAAGTGTGACCCGATGATCACCAGAACCTAGAATCCCCATTTCTATATGCAGGGCATGAACTCCACTGCTGAGCTATTGCTGTCCTCAACCATGTGATGCATTCTCCTTCCTTCCTTCAGATCCATTGCTGTGAGCTTCAGTGCACCATTGCACTGCTCTGTCATCAGGTTGCCAGTATCTTTGAGTTAAGGAGGACGAAACAGTAGGGAATGAAATAGAGGACAAGGTATCCCTGGAGAGGTTACCTGTTTGGTCCCCTGTCACTGAAGCAGAAATCAAAAGTCTTATTGAGAGGCTTCCCCTAGACAAAGCTCCAGGAAGGGCTATGTTGCCCCACCCCAATCTTTCGTATGGACCCAGAGTGGTGGGCACCAATCTTGGCATCGCAGTAAAGACTGATATATTTCCTTAGTGATATTGGTCTTGATCTGCTTAGATGATCTCTAAACAGAGATTCAATTTGTAAAGCTATCGTGTGCTGATAAAATGTTCAGATGGTTCAAAATTACTGTCTGTGTTCTTTTTACAGGGTGTTACGATAATGGAGAAACTTCTACAAGAACAGTTTGGGAGCCCCTTTTTGTAACGAGGAAATGTGAGTGTGTTTATACTGTTTCTTTTATAAGAATGTGATAATCAAATTCAGTAGTTTTCATAAAAGTAATCCCCCCCCCCATATATTTTTCATGGAGGACAATGTATGTATTCTTCAAGTAGTTCTAGAAACGAGAGCAAATGGCTATTGATTGGTTTGTTATAAATGTTCTTCTAAGACACACTTTTTGTACCTTACAGGAGGAGAAATCTCCATGTGTCTAAAGTAGAACCACAGCAATATGTCCTCATTACCAGGCCTGCTTCTTGCTGAAGTTAACTTTATGGGTTAGATTGACGAATAAGGAAAGACTGAGTTGAAGGAAGACAATTGCCTACAAACTAAGCAGCATATGTGGAATGGCACAACTTAAAATCTGTGAACCAGTGTGATCATGGCGAACGAAAGTATGGTTTGGAAAAAGACATCACTGTGTAGTTGCTCTTTAATCTCCCATAGACTAATCATCAAAAAGATTCCCACCGAACCCCCTCAAAAAAAACCCCACACATTGGCACTACGGAAAGACTATCAGCCAAAAGGAACAAGATTTTACTCTTGTTTTAATACATGGTCCGTTGTTCAGGCCAGAGAATCTATTCCACAGCAGTGCAACTGAAATGGAGGCATTTTATTAACAGGTACTGTGAATCTATATCTCATGAAGACTTTACATGAACTGCAAGATTATTTTAGTTTCAAAATTCTTGTGTTATGCAAATACCATTCTTTAAAACCTCCAAAATGCTATTAATGCACCTCCAGTTTGCCAATGTATCCCTCTAAAATGTGAACTGTTGCCAAACCTTGCTAGTTTTTCAAACCTACAAAAGCTTCTCAGAATCTTTATTAACTTAATGCTGAATTCCAGTGGTAGCCCTCTTTAAAAAGATGGAAAACTTGTTTAGTCTTTCAGTACTTGTAACTAGGTAATTGACATCTAATTAAGTGGTAAGTTGACATAAGGGCTCAGGTTTTCGTTTCTTTCTTGGACACTTTTGGTGATGTTGTTTTTTAAAAGAATGTGTGTGTACACCATTCTGTCTTCAGATATGAAATGTTACTTGAATGCCCTTTTCTGAAATAAAGGAGAACTAACGCTAGATTTGCAAATTACTAATAATGCATAATATGTGCCACAATGCTAATAAGAAGTACTTAAATGTCTGCATATATAAAAAAATTCCTTTTTATTTGTACAAAATGTTGTCAGCGTTATACATTAGGTGAAGTGCTGGGAGGACAATTAATAACCGCAATCTGGTAACTCCTCTGCACCGGATAGACATTGTAAACATGATATGGTCTGCTGGGTGATGCTTAGGTACACATTCAGTGTTAGAAATATTTAAGTCTTGGTTAAATAAAATATGTTCTGGAGCAGTAGGGAGGATTATGTTGTTTTGACATAAAACCATGTCCTTTTCAACCTTGTCACCTGCAGTTTTATGGCTGAGATTGCTGGAGCAGTCTGGATTAAATTTAGATTTACCCGGCACAGCAGTTATGTCAGGTCATTTTTAATTCATTTCCTTTAGCAATGAGCCAGCCTAACCAGTCATTTGAACAGCTATTTGACATCTGGCTAATGGGACTGAAAAGTGTGCCAACTGCCCTGCTGGCTGCCTCCCTTTCTTGCTCCCTCTCGCTAAGCACGTTGAAAGCAAGAAGAGGAAAAACAGACACGTGTTTCCAAGCCTTCTCAGTGCTGAGAAGCAACTGAGCCCTTAAGAAGGAAGGATCTAAGGATCTGTGATTTAAGTGTTAAAATAGGAATGCAACAAACGGGGAAGCTGGGTGTGCATTTGAACAGAACTGGAAGCAGGGTTGGTATGAACATTGCCAGTGACAGTACCTCATAAAGTACTGCAGGCGCAGCACTTGGGTACTAAGCAAATCTGCGTTTGCCCTTTAAGTGCTCAGATGACTCCATAGCACTGTTGTGAAATAGCATCTGTTTTGTCTGGGAGTCCCCCCAGAATTCATCTGCACCAGCTATCTAGAACATACTACCTGTTAACCTAATACCTGCTGACCGGTGCAGTTGCCTTGGCTCTAGATGAGCCCCTTGTTCATCACCCTACTACTCTCAGGCCATTTGGAAGAGGACAGGATCTTGTGCAGTAGAAATCTTGCACTATTTAATGCAAGGGTTGTCAACCTGGTCCCTACTGCCCACTAGTGGGAGTTTCAGGATTCTAGGTGGGGCAGTAGGGGGTTTTACGGCACAAGCTGAATCCTCCTTCCATCGAGCACTGGTGGGCGGTAAGGACATTTTACCATCAAGAAAGATGCATTAGTGGGCGGTAGGTATAAAAAGGGTGACCACCCCTGGTTTAATGAGTTACAGTCTTCCAGCTGGAGAGGTTTGAGATCCAAATAATGCTGTTGCAATCTTGTTTCAGGGAGTGTATATGTAGTCTCTGCAACTATATTAAGGTCAGCCTTCTTGTATTTTTTTTTCTTTAAAAAATAAGGCAAGAGAGTTAATTACTTTCTTGAATTTTTTTTTATAGTCCTCCTTGAACACTATTGTATGTCAGGCTCATTAGATTCTTCCTCACATTATGTCTCTTGACTTGCTAAGTTGTAGCTAACACCTGCTTTACATGTACTCATTGCATTCCAGGAAGCTAGAAATTTACATTTTTATATAATATCAGGTCTTACAGAGTTTGGAGGAGCTCATCTGCTTTTTTTCCAAGCAGTTCACAGAGCCTCTCCTTTTCCCATGTGGAGATTAATCTCAGTGTTTAAAAAGGGAGCATCTTGTTGACACAAATACATTTGTATGTCAGGTGGTGCAAATATGGTGATGTATCAGAAAGCAGCTTTTCTAAGGCCCTGTCTAAACAGTACAATAATCTTAAAATGCCCTCTGTGTGGCTGTTGTGTGGAGCAGTGTACCATACGGACGCCCCACATCCTATTGGTAGTTACAGGAGGATGGAATGGAGGCACAGCTATGTGAAGGCATGGGATTTCTTCTTACAATAGGTGTGACTTGCATGGCAAGCCACTGTGTGTCTCTGTGGAGACTGTAAAATGTATAGATAGGTCTACCTCAAGTCACACTGCATGCACCACAAAACCTTTTCGGCATGTATGTTCTCTAATAGCAAGGCCAACGCAATATCACAGATTGTTTCAGTTAACCACAGGCAAGGTTGTTGGGTGCCTTGTCAACTGCATGTTTGCTTGCAGATTACAGGGCCTGCTACTGGCTGCTGAATGCTTGGATATAGCCCTCAGCTTTGTAAACTACAAAACAGCATTGAAATGTAAGAATGCCTGAACACTACTGATGTCTAAAAGCAACCAACTTCATGAAGTGCCTTTGACGTCTGTGCCTTGATAATGTGATCTAGAAAGAAATAGAACTCATCCCCACCTCCAGATGTTAAACATTAAAAATGTTTTAAGAACTTAATTCTTAGCCCATAATCATTTGCAATATTTTTACATTAGCAGCTATCTTTCATTATCCCAGAACTTGCTTTGCAGTGTATATGTGTTGCGAATCAATTGTTAAGGGAATGGGTTAATGAAATTATAAATGATGTTTTTCATATCCATTTTGTAATAATTGTACAACTCATTAAAAAAGGTGTTCTGATCATACACGATGTTTGCCCTTCAGATATTCTTATTGATATTCCATACACTCTGTTTCTCTCCTAAAACGTATAACGAAAACACACACACCAAACCAGGTTTCAAAATGAGTTCCTTAGAAATTATAGGCAAAACAGCATAAAGGATGACTCCTGTGCAAAAAGCAGGAAGGGTGGAGAATAACAAAATGGCCACAAGGTTATTCTAACTTGTCAGGATTGTGAGTTGAATATATTAATGAGGAAAGAATGCCTTCCTCAAAAATTTCGCCGTTTTTCATTCAATGTCTTAATACTGCACACAAAATTGCTTTGATAAATATGCAGCAGAAAAGTCACGAGCTGACATCTGGGGCTGTCGTTCTCAAGGGTTTGGTAAAGTAATAAAATGGATTAGCTTTCTCTTTTTTAAAAAAAAGATTTCCTGGTGAAACATCTCCCAAAATCAACCATTTTGAGGACAACTGATGCTTAGACACCCTAATAAGTTAGGATTTCAAAATCTGAGCATCTGATTTGACATTGTGAAATGATTAGCTATGTAATAAACAGATTGATTCTACACATATAACCCCAAGACAGGTCTTGGTGAATTTCATAGTAAACACAGTTATGCATATATACCTGGGAGTAAGCCCCATTCAACTACTGGGGTTTACTTCTGTGTTAAGGTGTCTAGCACTGTAGTACTCTGGACTATTGTTCCAGGAAATGCAGCATGTTTTAACTTTTAGAGACAGGCAGACACCCCTTTCAACCTGTGGCATGTATGTAGAAATTCAAGGGACTGTAGAGGGAGGGACCTATGAACAAGTTAGGCCACATGGAATCTAGCCACATTCTAGGACTTTAACTTGAGGCTGTAACTCCATCTAGCATTTATTGCTTGCCATTCTTGTGGGGCTTCACTGCATTGTATATGTGGTTCTGCCGTATAAGAACTTCAGTAATTGCAGTTGAGCATGACAAACATCACTGTTGCTAATAATGAATTCAAGTGGTGAGTGCCAACAGATGTGGAGGCAAAATAGGGCCTCTGACAAACAAGAGGGATGTTTCAGCATGCTTGGCCAGGCTGGTGTATGCAGAAGTACAAAAAAATATATTTTTTAAAAGAAGTCCTTCCCCAGTAATGGCCCAGTGAGGACTGGGCATGCTTAGTAGCCACAAAATGTTGAGTGTGAAAAACATATTAGAAGGAAGAATGAATTGACCCGCTTGATTGACCATTACAGCTTATGGTATCCCTGGAGGAGGGGATAGTGGTTTGGCACCTTGAAAAGGAGCACTGCTGTTTGAGGACGAGAATACCTAGCGACATTTTGTGCTAGATTCCGTTGCTCTTTATTCAGATACATAAATTTGACTGATGTCTAACACATTTCATTATACATGACAAAGCCAATTTTCACCTTCTCACCCCTTGCTTTTTCCTGTAAGACCTATTGCAGTCGTTAAGAGTCGTCAACAGGCTCACCACAGCTATCTGCCCATCACCCATTCCCACCACCCTTCTGAGTAATACCCCTCCCCACCTTCTCACTATATAGAAGGATCTGGCAACTTCTGTTTCAGTGTATCTGAAGAAGTGTGCATGCACACGAAAGCTCATACCAAGAACTAACTTAGTTGGTCTTTAAGGTGCTACTGGAAGGAATTTTTTTTTGTTTTGACATTTCAATGCAGTATGTCAGAACTAGCGATGGTCTGCTCCACTGAAATAAAGTACCTTTCACAGTCATATATTTCCTAGAAATGGTGAATAGAAATGCAGAATGACCTGTTCTGAAACTGTCACTTGTTTTGTTTTCTAAGTGAAGTAGCAAATAATAAAGCCTTCTGTTTATCACACAATTAGACCATGTACCTTTTTGCAATAATTTAATCTGACGGTTCTCTGCAACCCACATAAGCATTCATTCCAGCCCTCTTTTTCCTGCCCCCATTCCTTCCATGCACATGGTAGAAATATGCTGGTAACCACGCATGTCTCTGATACACAAAATATGAGTATGCACAGCTGATGAGCCCCGGCAGGGCGAAATAAGGTATTATTCCGGGAATCCTTGTTTTAAGTTCTTTTGTCTGATACCTGCATACAGCAACTATATTTTGAAAAGGCATATGTTAAGATCTTTTGTATCCTTCGTCTGATACCTGCATACAGCAGTTGCACACAACAACTATACTTTGCAAAGGCAGATGTGGAACATTACAAAGAAAAGTTCATCTTTTGCAAGTACTGCTCCTTAAAGTTGTGTTTGACACCTGTATTCGCAAAGGCATACGTGGAACACAAAAAGCTTCTACAGTGGTGCCTCACAAGACGAAAAGAATCCGTTCCGCGATTTTCTTCGTCTAGCGGTTTTTTCGTCTTGCAAAGCAACCCTATTAGCGGCTTAGCGGATTAGCGCTATTAGCGGTTTAGCGGATTAGCAGCTATTAAAGGCTTAGCGGCTTAGCTGCTAAAAGGCTATTAGTGGCTTAGCGGCTTAGAAAAAAGGGGGGGGGAGCGAAAAAAAATCGCAAGACTAGCAAGACGTTTCGTCTTGCAAAGCAAGCCCATAGGGAAATTTGTCTTGCGAAGCAACTCAAAACGGAAACCCTTTCGTCTAGCGGGTTTTCCGTCTTGCGAGGCATTCGTCTTGCGGGGCACCACTGTATTTGGATATTACGTATATAAAAACTGATCTATTTGTATTTCCTGTTTTATATGTTGGTCTTTAATTGCTTCTACTCAATTAGATAATGTGAAAAGAGTTATGTTTATATGATTTATAAAGAATTCATATAGTTAAACACAGCCAGTTACATTGTGGGTATATTTGTTAGTTGTATTTACGTAACTATAAGTTTGATAGTGTTGGGTAATCACACATGGCCCGTCCAACCTATGTTCCACCAAAGGGAAAGCAGTCCATCAGCATTGCAGGTGCTGTAGCCATGGTCTGGTCTGTTTCATTGTCTTCAGCGCCTTAGCAGGTCAGGGAGCTTTGTGGGCACTGCAATGTTGGAAAGGGCATGAAGGAGCGATCATATCAGCACACCTTCTCATCTTGCCATTCCACAACAAGGAGAGATTCTTGACAATATCCCCTCTATCTATTGGGAAGCCCCATGGAGCATTAAGGGATCCTTCTGTAAGTTTCCTTGGGTTCACCATTTTAGTCAGTCCCCCATCTCTGTGGAGGTGATAGCTGCCATGAATCCAAATACCACCAGCAAGTGGTCTGACCATGACAACAGGATCTCAGAGACACTCATTTCCAGATCACCCCCCCTCCACTTGGAGCAGAAAACAAGGGTGTAAAATGCACATCTAAGCATGTATACTCAGAAGTAAGCATGTTCAGTGGGGCTTACCACCAGGAAAACGTGCATTAGATTGTAGTCAATTCTTTCTCTCTCTATGTTCTTATGCAGGCGGTTTCTCAAAGGCAGTATACAGATCTTTTTGGCAGGGACCTTGATGTACAATCAGTTTTAGCTGTAGAGGTTAAGGCGGTAGCACACAGTTAAATTAGTGTGCAATGTTACAGAAGGAAATGACAACCTGTCATGTGATGGAGCCAAATGAGAAAATGAGTGGATCCTGCCCATCATTGAAAATAGTAACTGAGCACTTTATGGACAAACAAGAAAAGAGGTGCATGTAAAAGAATTCTGAAGACAGGATTTGCCAGGTTTTTCAGAATTAAAGAAAGGTGGCGTGTGTTGTCAGAAATGTCTGTCTCACAGAGGACAAGGAGTATATTATTTGGGAATTGAAATGGGCATCTCAAGAGGAGAGTGAAAACGCGGAAAATTTAGGGAGAACAATATGACAAGCAAATTGAACCACACTGGTAAAACTGGAAGACGGAACATGAACAATAAGTTTGCAACGAGCCCTTTCCATATGTTCGCCTTTAAATTACAGCCTGCAGATTAGAAAAACATTCTGTATCTCTATATTTCTATGAGAGCTGCTATAAACAGTGTCCATCTTGGGGCATTGCACCATGAGCCTTTCCTAAGGGGTCCACAAGAAGGGCCTCATTTGCAGATCTCTTGGAGGAGGGAAATGGCACCAGCCAACATGAAAAAGTGTAGAAAGGAGAAATCCTGAGAAAATATAAAGGTACAACACTAGAATATAAGTTGGGGGGGGGGGGAATCCAGTCTCAGTAAATGTCTTTGATTCAGTGTAGTCTGTCTTATACACTTTGCATGGCCGAACTTTTAACAAGCAAAAAATTGAGGTAAATTAGGTTTTAGGATCCATATGACTGCAAGCGCCTTTCATTTATTGGTCCAAATCAATTGCCTGCAACGGCAAACGGCATGATTGCTTTGTCCTTCAGTGAGCAACCTAAATTGCTTTCCTGTTTTAACTGTACCTTTTTGCATTTGAGCAAATGGCATGGAAATCAAAGAAATTCTAGTCAACAAGGGCAGAAGGAGTCCCTGAGGATGCTGCAAAGTGAGTTTAACAGAAAACAGGAGATCTGACAGATGAATTCCTGAGGGGAAGTAAGTTACAAAGGAGATAGGAGGTTGGTGGAAAGAGAAAGTTAAATTTGTCACAATATTGTTTAGACTCTAAACTTTAGAGTGGTTGCTTTTAAAGCCATCCGCCTGTATTCTTTTCACAGTTAAAAGTGTGGTGAGTAATGGGGAGGGTTTCTTGGGACACACTAAACTGAGAGCAAACCTCAAATGCTATACTGTACAGTGGTACCTCGAGTTACAAACACTTTGGGTTACAGACTCCGCTAACCCGGAAGTAGTACCTCGGGTTAAGAACTTTACCTCAGGATGAGAACAGAAATCGGGTGGCAGTGGCGGCGTGGTGGCAGTGGGAGGCCCCATTAGCTAAAGTGGTACCTCAGGTTAGGAATGGTTTCAGGTTAGGAACGGACCTCCGGAACAAATTAAGTTCTTAACCAGAGGTACCACTGTAAAGTAAACATTTTGGGAATGTGCTTTAGCTGCTTTAGAAGTGCAGAAACAATAAGGACTGCATACCAG